TTCCTACCTATACTGCATCCAGAAAAGCTGTTCCTTCCTTCTCTTGCTTATCTGTCAAGTTCCGCTCCAGCCAGTGGTTTTAAACTACATGGGAGTTCTTTTAACTTTCTATTATTATTTCAGCTACCACCAATACTGCAGGCACAGATGGCTAGCACAGGGCAGAGGAGAACTGCTTAAGACATGTCATCTGCTGAATGTAATTCAAGACCTCATACTAAGTCATGGCATATCATTCACTCTCCTCTTGTTGCTCCTGACAAAACAGAGAACACAGCCTGCATGCACGTACTCCTAGCACACAGGGAGCAAGTCAGCCACAATGACCACGTCATGCCCAAGTGCACAGGGACAACAGGGATATACTCACGGAGGCAAAGGTGCCAATCTGTTTGATGTTCTGTTCATAACTCTGTGAGCTGGTGGGTCTCCCAGGTGTTCGTCTGGAGTACCAGAAGGTATAATTATACTGCAAGGGGTGCTCAGCTGGCCCTGGGACAACAGCCTGCAGAACACAAAAGCTTGCTTTACCCTTATGACCCACTCTAAAAGCAGAATAGGAAAAATTACATTTGTAGCATCAGAAGCCCACATGTTCCTGCCTTCACAGGCTATAAAACAAGCAACTAACCCTCCTTTTTTCAGAATCTCTGATAATTGTCTGAAATGGATGATTAGGCTAACAGCAGCTGACTATTCGAAAGAATATTAGAAATCTGCAGCACAGAGAAGGCTAAGGAAATAATAACAGAAAAAGGCCGTAAAAAAACCAACTCCCATAACTATTAGAGGCAGTATTACTAAATTTTCCTTTAGTCCTTAACTGTGCCTGTCTCAAAGGGAAAAAGACAAACTAAAAGGGCAATGCAAGAGTTTTATTTCAAATTAAGAAAACAAAAAATAAAATCCCCAAACACTCTCTTTCTCTGGGAGGAACAGAACCCATATATACCAAACCATGATTCAAAAGCAATTATAACTCTTCGGTGACACCAACTCCCTCAAGCAACCAACACCCTAACACTCTGGGAGGATCAGTCTCAGAACTCGTTATGTCAGCTTTGGCGGAACCCATCACCAACAGTGGGTAGTGATCATTTTTCAATTTCCAAAACACCCATTTCTGATTAAAAACACTCCCAATGAGCACAAAAGACTTTAATGGGAACTCACTGACCAGGAGTCAAAACTGACATTAAAATAAAAATGAACCAAAAAGCCCTTTTCTTCTATCACTTGATGTTGTATCAAGAGTTACTAGGGCTTTAGTCTCTACTCTCCTCTTGTCTGTGGAAAGTTTGTAAGGACTGCATTACTCCAGACAGAATAGTTTTCCTAAGAACAAGATTAAAATAATAAATGAAACAGGATGGATATATGCTGCTTAACTAGGCTACACTGCACATACAGAGACTCACCCCAAGAGTTATTACAACAGTGGCACAAACACAACCTGGTAAAACAACTGCAAGCCACTACTCCCCTGTCAACCAGCCCTTCCCCTACAACCTCTTCCAAAAATTAATATTTTCTTTTTTAAATAAAGCTTTATTTCTCATTTTTATTCAAAAGCCAGGCAGAGTACTAGCTGAGTTTGTGAAGGGAGCATTCACCCACCTCCAAAACCTACAGCAAATTATCCAAATGCTAACGTAGCCCCTGTCTTCATATAACAGTAACAGAGCATAAAGCTACCACAGCCCACCAAGACGTATTTTCCTTATCCCTAGACTGAGGACTGACTCTGTAGCACACCAACATCATGCCTTAGCAATGGAATGCAGATGCCAGCACTGTACCTTCCTCTTGGTGGTACTCTGTGGTTTCTCTCGGTCGTTCTTTTCCTTCTCACTGTCTTTCTGTGTGTTGTTCTCCTCATTCTGGTCATGGTCTCCACTATCATCATCTTTCAAACTGATAAAGAAACAGAACAAAGAGAGTGGGTCTTATGTTGCACAGCTGAGGAGGTTTAGACCAAGCCCCAGCAGTCTCTGCTTCTTAGCTCCTCTGCAGTATAAGGGCTACCAGAGTTTGGAAATCTACATTTGACAACCCACACAGTAAAATCTACTACTACTTTGCATACCCAGAGTCCATCACAGGCATCTCAGACACATACTTTAAAGCACAAGCAGGCAACAACATGCTTTTTCAGAACAAACTCGAGCAGTCCGAACTAGGCATTTATCCGCCGCAGACACCCCCAGCAACCTGTCTGGATCCCTAGCTACTCAGGAAGTAAGCACGGAAGACCCGTCACTGTAACTTTGCTGACTCGCTCCTGCTCACCTCCCCACGCCTCTAAGCACACAGAGACAGCCCCTCAAGCAAGCAAGCAAGACACCTGAACCCTACGGGTCCCTGTGCCCACCCCATTCCTTGCGAAGGGCCGGAAAAGAAGAGGGAAAAACGGGGCCAAAAGGCGGCCCGCCGCACGGCCGTGCGCGCTGAGGGACGCTCCGCCGCGAGCAGAGGCTGGCGCCGCCGGACGCCTGCCCCCACCCCTCGGAGCCAGGCAGCGCCTCCTGAGCAGGGCCTGGCCGGGCTCGGGGGGCAGGAACGGAGCTGCGCGCGCGGCCCCGTGACTCATCGCATCCGGCTCAGCCCGCGCCGAGCCGGCGGGGAGGGGAGGGGAGGGGAGCGGCCGGTAGGACGCTGGGCCTCGCCGCCCTCCGCAGCGGTGACGGGGGTACTGGGGACGGTCACACCACACCGCCAACTCACGCGTCGAATTTGTTGTTCATCGTCGCTCGCTGCCGCCACCTCCGTCCACCTCAGCGACTTCCGCCCCGCCGAGTCCAATCTCCAAAGCCTTCCGCCGCTTCCGTCAGCTGTGCCCCGCGCTTCCCCACGGCGCCGTAAGTATGGCGGACGACGGAAGGGGAACAAGAACGCTCCCGGTTGCCATTTGAGTGCGGACTCTGCCGGGATCCCCCCTGCGGGAAAGCCGCCATCTTGAGTGTGGTGGGCGGACAGAGCCACCATGTTGGGTGTGGCGTGAAGCGGGAAACCGGCGTGAGGTGAGGCGAGGTGCGGCGTCGAGCGGCCGCCTCACACGGCATGGGAGCAGCCAGGGGGTCCACGCACTGTGCCATTTTATTCACGGAGTTCATTTGTCTCTGGTAGGTACAGAGTCAGTCACTTTTTAAGGGGCCTGCCCTACCTTTCTCCTCTGGTGACAAGCAAGTCCTAGCCCCGGCACCATCCTATCTTTTCTCTTCAGTGTATAGTGAGGGACAGCAGAAGTCTTGTACAGGTGCTGTTGGGGGATGTCATCAACGTCTTTCACTCCATCCCGTGAATGGATCTGTCAAGATCAATGACTCATTGCTATGGCTGTTGATGCTATTTCTCTAGCATGAGACATGGGTAGAGTTCAGGGAAAGGAAGCTACCATGTAAGTGAAGAGCCTGCAACACCTGGAACAGCAGATGATAAGGGACAGTTTATAGAGGGCAGGGGAGACTGTCCCTCCTCCAGCGTTTCCTCATACTTCCTGAATCCACTCCAAAGCTGCCCTTTGTGTACAGAATCTTCTCATACTATTTTTGCAAACCTCTCACCAATAATTTCTGCTATCTGGCAGATTTACTAAATGGATTTCTGAATGATGTAGTTTCTGTTTCTCCAGCAATTTGTGATATGGAGAGAGAGCAAATCCATAGCCTGTAGTTCAGGACTATGAAAAAAGGGTATTCAACATATTTAAGGTACTACATGCCCATGTTACTATACCGTCAGATTGTATTTTTCCCTGCAAAGCACAGAAACACGGTGCTGATATTTCTGTTTTACTCTTTGGAAGCAAAGGCAATGGGTGCCTCAGCAACATTCCCCAGAATCACAGCAGTATGGCAGAATGGGGAAAAAAGGGGTCACCCAAGTCTTAGGCCAAATATCTTTACCACTGGAACACCATCCTGTTGTTTTATGGGCTCAAACCTGTGTTCATAATCTTAGAAGACATAGAAAATAATTTAGAAATAAATACTAGCAGAAATAGTTTAAAGGTTCATGAAGAATTTCCTGGTTAGTTGCAGTTACACGTAAATGGGATCTCTGTGCTCTGAAGACCAGCAGTTTACAAAAATATTTCAGAAAAAAATGTGCTATGCAAATTATTTGCAAAATCACCACCTCCATTTTTTTGCTACCTAGGCTTTACTATGGAAATAAATAAAGATATTTATGGAGATAAATAAAGATAAATAAATGTAGCAGGATATCAGATATTAAGAAAGTCTTGGCCTGTGAAACAGTGACTGTAGGACAGCTGTAGGTAATATTGAGGATTGCTCTTACCTGCAGAAAACAGTGTAAAAGCTTCTCTGTTCATAGTTTCCATCTTGTCTGTGAAATGACCAGGGTTAAACTGTCAAGGGCTCTCCCACTGCTCTTGATTATATAGGGCAGAAAATACGTTGGGGAAAATTAAGGTGCCCCACTGAAAGAGAAAATGAACATACAAGGATCTTCTTCACAGAGCCAAAAACTAATGGCTTGACTTAGACTGCAAAGATATCAATTGCTCACTTGAAATTGCCCAATGCAAGTGCCAAGTAATTATTCTGGAGTGAAAAATAGGGTCGTACTGTGTTATCTCATACAGAATGGCTTATTTTGACATTATTAGATGCTCTTAAAGAGTTATTTTAGAACACCAGAGAATGCAGTAATTACAGTCATCAGAGACTTTGGGGAAAAAACCCAAACACCACTGAACTGCAGGCTGGACACTGATCAAGACCCCTGACTCTGATCTTGATTTTCTCAAAGACATGTTCCCCTAAAGCCACATAGATATTATCCATTGGGAAGCCAACCCTACATGAGGTTGGGTATGGATTTAAAGTACTCTGCTGATACAATAAAAGAGTATACAAACACTGTTATTCTAGAATTTCGGGGGGGTTTATATATAGCTTGTACCATTTAAAAGAAACCTAGGGTCATTATACCGGTACCTTTATACTGATCTAATGCTTGAAATACTGTATATTAAAATGATAACATTAAACTGTAAACTGTATGGAAAAATGGTAAAGCTGTGCAAAAGGAGAGGTGTACAGGTTTATTCATATTGTAGGATGTAGGTAATGTCCAGCATCCTATTCACAGTGAAGAGTTCCTCAAAAGTTGTTCAAACTCACCTTTGGATAGTTTTGCAGCCAGAGACAAAATGTAAGAGAGATCTATTGCTTGGCTTTGCTCTGTCTAAGGATTGTCCCCAAACCTTTGTGGTGTTAATATACCTTAGTGGCATTAATATCTCCTTAGTAATAGGGAAGTCTTGCAGTGTGGTAGCCTGGGTACTCATAAACCTTGTGCTGCTATAACACATAATCTCATTTAGAACTGCATTTGCATATAGCAGGATCATTTGGTTCTTATGTTTAGTTCCACAGGATGGACCAATGACAGCATCCAACTCTTCTTGGACTTGTTCTGCAGAACAAAAGGGCTAATAATGAGTATTTAAGAAGGTATCTGATGTGTAGACTCTCTGCAGAAATTCAAAATTCCCAAGACACCTTATGCTGCAGGTTTAAGCACCTGATTCAAAGGCATTTTGACTATTACCCTGCCGTGAGCAAGGACAGAGACATGTATAAGTGTGGGTACACACATTTCTCACCTTGTACTTCCAGATGCACCATCATGGAGAGCTCAGCATAAGGTGATGGTGGTGTCTGAGCCCACTATGAAGGGATACATGATCTCTGAGATCTGTGATGTAGAGGGTGGGTCGTCTTTTGCCTATAGATATGAGACAGACAAGAAGATTTAAGGCTGTTTTAATAGCATAGCAAATCTCAATCAACAGAGCTTCTTTTCATCCCAGAGTGCATACTGAGTTGAGGAAGTTGGTAAGACAGCAGCCATGTAGCTCTGTTAAAAAATAATCTTGCTGACTGAGAAAGACAGCATACAGTAAGTTTTCTTTCAGTCTAGGATGGAACAACATTACTCTGTCTGTGCTGGCTGCCAAAGAACACAACCTCAGCACCTTCAAAAAGTACTTTGCTTTAGAGGCTGAATTCAAATGAAGAAATAGCTGAAAAGTATCTCAGGAGGAAAAGGAAGTAGGAGTGCAGCTGGAAATGTCTTAGCTAAAAACATTTTAAATATGTTGCAGCTGCACAAGAGAAAACTACTTGTTGCCTTTAACGTGAGCTTAGTATGCATCAATGAAGTTCTGTGGCTCTGCAGGCAGCCAGCTCCTCTGGTAGTTCCTGATCTCATCGTTTTCATAGGTCCTGCAAGTGTGTTAGTGCCCGCAGCAGTCTCATTAACATAGTGCTTAAGTGCCTCAACAGTGAGAGGAAATTGTTGTAGAACTGTGCCCAGAAACACAACCACAAGGAACACCATGACATCATACAGTTCCAACCCCCCTGCCATGGCCAGGGACACCTCACACTAAACCATGGCACCCAAGGCTCTGTCCAACCTGGCCTTGAGCACCGCCAGGGATGGAGCATTCACAGCTTCCTTGGGCAACCCATTCCAGTGCCTCACCACCTTTACAGTAAAGAACTTCTTCCTTATATCCAATCTAAACTTCCCCTGCTTAAGTTTTAACCCATTACAATATTCACAGCAGAACCATGCCTAACCATTGCTATGACCCAGATGTCTTACTTAGCTGACTACAGGAAATAAATGACTACTTGATTTTTAAAAAAATGATCTTGAAGGGAAGTGTGTGAAGGATGATCGTAACTATACAGTTAACTTTCCAGATTGCCTGCTCTCCACTAGCAAATTTCAGATTTGAGTGATCTAAATGCCCTTGAGTACAGTTTTTCTTCCATGTGAAGTCTTTCCAAATTCATCTGCTCCCTGCTAAATCTTAAATAAACACTTGGCTGTAGTTCTCAAAGCCACAACCATGTTAGCTTGTCTTTTTTTTTTTTGTTTTGTTTTTTTCCTGGATAGTTCTTGCAGCCCAGTTTAACACAGGAGATAAGGGCCATTACAAAACCCTTTAAGGCGCAGGCTAAGAAGGAAAACCTGATTCTGGCTCCAGGGCAAACTTGGTACTGAATAATGTCAATATAAAATTAGATCAGTCTCTCTGAAGGCACCTCTTGCAAGAGATTGAATGGGCCTGTAAACAAAGCAAGCCAGGAACAGTTGGGGGGGGGGGGGATCAGAAGTAAGTGCTGGTTTTAGCAAAGTTAAGAACTCTTCTTCCTCTCTGTGCATTGACAAACAACTGTTTAATGCCACAGCTCACTGAGAAATGCTGTCAAGCTTTGATAACAGTTACAGGGAACAGGTCAGTCCTTGCTTATCCAAAGCTAGGAGGTGCCATGGAATTCTGACATGGCCTGGAAGCCTCTGAGCAGCCTGTGGCACATGGCAGTCTCTGTAGAGAAACTGTGTCCAAAAAGCACATCAGCAACCATGTCGTTGATGGAAGAGGGGATTGGGACAGAGAGATCCATGCTGACAAACAGGAAAGCTGCATCGTTAACTTCTTTCATAGGCTGTTTTGTTTACACTGAACTCCCATCCAGCCTGCTCTTGATTTGCATGGGATTACACAAATAGCTGAGCCTGCAAGAATCAAGATGCAGAAGTCTAACTAGGAGACTGTTCTGCAGGCATCTTTATAATGAGTGAGGGAAAGAGTCCATCCTATAGAAAAGTGCATAATCAGCACAATTTAGGAGTCTCTCATCTATCACTTTCTCCCATAAAGGATTGACATGAAAGCAGTGAGTCAGGCGTGATGTTCCAGTCAAGGGCAGAATGAGTTGTGAAAGCATCAGCTGTGTAAACCTCCCATCAAACCTACTGCAGAAATTGCTACTTCCAATAGAAAAAGCAGGGTTGGCAACAAGGAGAATGAACCTATGTCATCACAATCACCTATAGATCTATTATTTCACCTCTTTCTCTGGCAAAGACCTCAATCAGGCAGCAAGCCAGGCTTCCAGGCTTTTTTTCTCTAGGCCTAGGTTGCTAAGAGCTGTCAGATTGAAGTGTCTCTGCTCCTTCCAGGTGTGCCCATTGGCAAAGATAATGCCTGCAACAGAATGGGGAAGAACTGGGCAGAAGTATGGGACTGACACCTCCATAAGCAGGACTGGTGCAATTGTACTGGTTCCAAGATTTACCACCATGAGTTTGAAAAGCTCCCTAGCAGTATTTATATGGGGAATCAGAGGTGTTGATGCTGATTTTTTCACATCTACTTTACCATTTCTGTGGGAAACAAGTTCCATGCCTGTCTCCTTTTCTGCTTCTTTGTCTAGAACCATGCACTCAAAACATGCTGGGTCCTGCTAGCTGACATTTTTACAGTTTTACATCTTTTAGTGCAAAGACTTCTTGGTAACATGCTCAGTAACTAAGAACTGAACAGGCTATGCAAGTAAATGGGAAACACGTGAATTTTGTGTGCTGAATGTATATTTGGGGCTCAGCGTGAGAAGGACATGGAGCAGTGGTTCTACTGCATTCATCTTGCTGCCAAAAGCAGCTCATCTTGAAAAGAGGCATTAAGAATAGATGAGGTCATTGTACCAAACTCCATTCTCTGAACAGCTTGTTCTGCTAAAAATGTTTCAGTACACACAACAATGGAAAGTTCTGTAAGGGCCTCCAACAGCATCTCTAAAAAAGGATGCCACAGGTCTCTCACAAAATTATTCTGCATGCCCAGGGCATCCTTCACTGCTTGAAACACGTTCAGCTGCATCAGTGGTGTTTTCCTCTCAGTGTATGTACTACCCTACATCCTGGCCACCCAGAGAAACATGATGACATCAAGATATGAGGCATTTTCAGAAAGTCCCTTCAACATCTTAGTGGTACTCTTATGCCAGAGCTCCAAGACCATTTCTGTTACCTAAGGGCTGTTTCACAGCCTTTGGCATTGCCCAAGAAATGGGTGGGAGAAATTTAATCTTGCTGTCAGGAAATGAGAGGTTGGAATCATGTTTCACTATTAAAATCTTAAAAGGCTTTCACTGTTATTAATGTATTTCATTATTATTCATGGCTGTTATTCACATATCAGCAGTACACACAGCCATCATCGCAACAACCAGTCATGTTACCCAGAATGGGATTTATTCCATCTACATTGCCCCACCAGAGGTCATTGATGGATACTGCAAAATCATAAATATTGCTTTTATTATCTTTCCATGTTTATTTATTTTCTGATCGTACAGCTACTTTGGTGTATCAGTATTTACACAAGGAACAGCCTTCATCGTTAAAGTAGAAATTATAGTTGCAATTAACATGTGCAGCCATTAGATGGGAATGTTTGCTCATCATTGGACTGAGCATTGTGCTTGCTAAGGCTGGCACAGTGAGGCAATTAAGCCAAACTTTTCAAACAGCCATTGATCTGGAGTATCTTATCGGAGATGTGTTGAGTATCATGAGCTGCTTGGGAAGGACTTAGCTCCTACAGATTCTACTGATTGCTGCCAGAGTTTAGGTTCTCAGTAGTTCTGCAAATCAGAACTGTCTCTGGCACCTGTAAACTAGAGACCAGTTTTAAACTCTTCAACCCTGAGTGGTTGAGAAAGACCTAATTTCACAGAGGAAGGGAAGACAAGATAGTGGTACCTTGCTCAAAGGTTTAGGATTTCAGATAGGAACATCAGCTAGCTTGTGACTGTATGGGATAGGAGGTAAGGATGAGGTGCTAGATGCACCATCCCTGGAGACATTCAAGGCCAGGCTGGATGTGGTCTGAACAACCTGATCTAGTTGAAGAAGTCCCTGCTCATTGCAGGGAGGTTGTCCTAGATGACCTCCAAAGGTTTTTCTGAGAAATTGCAGCACTCTGGTAATATATGATGGACACTTGAAAGATGAAAAGGCATATCTCTGCTGTAGGGATTTCGAGGGATCTGGTAAAAACACACCATTTATAAAGCTGAGGAGAGTTTCCATGTATCCTGCTTCTGCAGTTTGCACATTGGAATCCACTGGTAATGTTCTACTGCTGAACTCACATATGTGGTTCAGGAACATCTATAAGCAGGTTTGCATCTCTCTGGAGGCGGGTGCAGGCAAAGGCTCCTCCTTTGCAATTTTTGGAAACAAAGGTGTAGCTAGGAATTCTAAAATATGCTGACCATGCTGAAAATGCATGCAAATATGATCAGGCACCTACTGCTGCCCATTGCTGTGAGCAATGGCTGTTTTCTGTAAGTGAGAGTAATTTGAATAATTGTTCTCACACCAGTTGGAGTCCAGTCTTTTGCCTTAATAGCCCAAGTAAGATGGAGAGGAAAAGAGAAACAAGTGCTTGAATCCCTGAGTTGGATTCCATCTAGAACCCAAAGGAACTGCAGAGCTTGTTTTTTCTCCTTTACCTGGGAAAATAGGGACCTTTGTTGCTGCTTCTAGTCTCATACCTCCTAGGCTTACAGACTCCTTTTTACCAGTATTGCTGCATTTCTCAGAATAGCCAGAGATGTGGTCGTAGCATGAATCCTGAGCATGAATCCTTCCTCCAGGAGCACATGGAGAAAGAAAAGGATTCTGTGGGTCTTGTTTGGTAGATGCAGTGTGTAGATCACATTGAAGGAATGTCAGTAACTTCACACATCTTTCTGTGCCTCTACACTCTCCAAGGGAAAAAAATAAAAGAGCCAGAAAACCAGTGCGTTGATACTCTACCATACCAAATACAGTGTCACCTAGGTGCAGTTCTGTGCCACTGCTTACTTATGTAGTCAAAAGGATTAAGGTTTTTCTATCAACCTGGTTGTTTTGCAGTGCGCATCAACTCTGATGATTACTGACACTTGCAACACCTTCCCAAAACAAGCAGAACTCTGGGGAAGAGAAACTTCTGTCTTAGAGCAACCTGCAAAATCGTAACACCGCAGGTAACAAAGCTTTTCTTTGTCCTTTCCCCTTCATGCCTATCCCCAGTGGGAAGGACTGACCTGGAGCAGTAACACCTCCAGTATGCTGCAGTCTCATCTGCGTTTCTGCTCCTACGCTGACCAGGCCAGGCCTCTGTCTCAGGAAGCCTTCCAGGGCCTTGTTGTGCCAAGACATAACCAGCCAGTGGCCATATAAGTGGCAAACAGCCAAAATAAGGGGTACAGGATTCAAGCAAGTAAGCTTTGCTATCTGCCTCTCATTGGTGAGTTTTGCTTATTCTTCCTGTTTCCTTTCCTCCTTCCTTGAAACTTGTCCTGTAGTGACAGAATTCCTTAGGCATTATTTTTGACTGGGGACCATTCAGTGATTTGCACCACTTCCAGCTGTTGCTACAGGCCCTTTCCATTCACCCCTACACCTCTCTAAAGTCCAGCAGGGAATCACAGGGCCTGAAGTTCTGCTTAGAAAGTTCACAGTTCACACTAAACCCAGGAAGGAACAGAAAGATGCTTTTGCATTCTAGCCAAGGTTATGTTAGGAGTCTACACCTGAAATACTCATAAAACTATAAAAAGTATCAGGGTGTCCTCATGTCCCTTCTTACTCAGCTGTGACCTGCTAGCTGCAGAGCCCCCAGATCCACACTCCCACAGGCATTAGTCCTGCTGGAGCACTTGGACAGCACAGGCAAATTAACATGTCTAGTCCCAGGTGAATGCAAATGGAGTGTGTCCCTTGAGCTGTGCACAGAGTGAGCAGGAAGAACAGGTCAGGTGACCTGAGGTGGGCCACTTTTTGACTATCACAGTGAGAACAAGGATGGTACCCCGCTGTGGACATTAGCTTAGACTTTAAAGACCTGGTTCAATTCCCTGTTGTGCTACAGATCTCTGTGATTCTGGGCAAGCTGCTTCATGTGGTTTCATAGTATAGCCAGCCTGTAATCTGTGTATAAACAAGATACCTTGAAAACAAGTAGTCACATCCCTTCATTTTCCCTTTCACTGGGGCTGGATCTAGCAACCACAGAGCTATAAAGTGACTGGATTCATATGGCTGATCTGGTGGAAAGCCTTTTGGTTTTATCTGCAGTAACAGTTTTCTGCTGGCTCAGCAGTCTGATCACACTCACCTGCTGGCTGCTGTCTCAGTAAGCAGTGTGAAAACATGGCCAAGGACAAAAGATGCAGGACCACCCCTTTTGGCAGACTCACTGATCATTTTAGCTGCAGTGCAAATCTTTGTCTGTATCCTGTCTACTTCAGAGTCCCTCCTGCTTGAGCTCCTAGGGCTCTTGCTGTCACAAATACATTCCCAGTTAACTACTCCAGTGACAATAGACAGAGAACTACCCTGTACAGAAATTATATTACACTCTCTGGTGATTGTTTCCTTCTAATGCACTAAAACATTCTCAGCTAATGCCCTAATAAGATTTTATATGCAGTAACTGTATGGATGGCTCCAGGATGGAGAGACATAATAATGGGAAAAATTTATGGAAGACTAAAACCAAATCTAATAGATTTGATATTCTTCAGAAACATTGTGAAAGACAGCAAAACATTGCAAAATACTTCAAAAGACCGTGCAAAAGAGCCCCAGAATTGCCAGCACTGCTTTCTGCCCAAATAAACCTTTCTCTGAGATTTTTTTTTTTTTTTTTAGTTTTGTCCATCCTCAGTATCAAGAATTTCAAGGACTTTCACCGGACTGTCTGGCACTGCTCAGAAGAGGCTGTACTGGGATATGAAAGTGGTGACCTCTAAGGAAAAATGTTTTTGATCCTGTGTTGCAGCTGGATGTCATGAATGGGAGTTCCTCCTCTCATTGAACATGCAACTGAGAGCACTACTGCCTCATCAGGACCACCCTGGGAGAGGCCTAGGAAACTCCTTGTGCTCAGCAGCGTACTTGCAGGGACATTACACTCTTCTACTGTCATCTTACAGGCTTGTTACATGCCCAGTGCCCTCTGCTTTCATTCTGACTCTCATGGAAAGGAAGAAAGAATAACTACATTTTGCCAAGATGCAGGGCAGCAAGATGAAGCTGATGGGCCTGGGTGGGTCCATGATTCTCAATGAGTCAAAGATGTGTTTGTCAGTTCACAGAGAGTACAAATTTCCAGTTGGATGCAGTTTTTCAAGTTTTTACCTTTACGCTCTGTGCTGACCTTGGTGTGTTCTCTGAGAAAGCACAGTCCAAGCGGTTTTTGCGTGTGACCTCATTAGTCTCCCCTCTTCTCTGGCATAAGTCAAAATATGGAGCAGTGCCCAGTGCAAAGTGGTTGCTCTGGTTTCTGTTCCTGCCAAAAATAGGTCACAGAGAATCCAGTCCAGGTTGTCTTCAAATTGCAGAGCTTGGATTGCCTTTAATTTTCAGGCAAGAGAGAGAGGTGAGTTTAGAGTACAGCAGACATTACAACATGTGCAGTCATTGACCCCAGATGACTTCAGCAAACAATGTTTTGCAGAATCTCTGATTTTCCAAAGAAAATAAATGTGGAGAGTAGTAGGAAATAGTAATAATATGTCATAAGTCTCTGTTTCTTCATGTCTGAACAAAGGATCCTGTCTTGTAGGCAGTGCTTTGAACGAAGTGCTTTGAACGATAGCAAAAGATCAAGCTGGAAGTTTTTTAATGGCATGAATTCAGAACACCCCATGGGGTTTTCTTATTTCAGTGAAAGATTTAGAACAAATTTATAGAGTCCCACTGTTCCACCACTGTCTTCCTGTGTCATCCTGCAGGGACAGGGCCCCCTGGTGAAGATCTGTGAGATGGTTGAGGAGCCAGGGCAAAATATCGTAAAACCAGTGGAAAATACCAAGCAGCCTTGCCTTTATACTTTCTATTTAAATTCCTAACAGCGCTCTCAACATATTCAAGCATCCAAGATAAGTGTTAGCAGTAAGATCTGCTGTTCAACTTTACCTTTTATTCTGCCTTTCACGCTTTGTCCTGTGGATCATATCTGTATTCTTCGGGGTTTTTTTTTTATACTTGTATTGACCATTATTCAATTTGTGCTATTTATATTTGTTATTTTCTTTCTTTTGTAGGACTCCTCTGTCTCAACCTTTCTACATCTGTAGGATATGATCTTCAAGCAGTTGTTTAACTGGTTCTCTTGGGAACAGCTACATAGAACCAAAGGCACTTACAGGAGGTTGGGAGGTGGTACCCAAATTAAGCATGTCATTCACAATTCCTCTGAATCATGTTCTTTACATGATCCTCATAGATAAATGATTGGTGTAAGTGCAGCAAAACCACTAATCAATATTTTCTGGTCTGTACTCTGTTGGATTGTACCAATGTCTCTTTTGAGGGTGATAACAGAAAGCAGCAGCCCACAGCCAGTGAAAGTGTACAATGGAAGTGGTAATCCTGGCAGCTTTAGTAGTAAGATAGGTAATACCATTTCCTCTCTGCAACTCTAATCACAAGAAAACAGAAGTGAAGCTTTCTACAGCAGAAAAGAGATTACATCCTTTTAACTGCCTTTTTTGTAACCTTGCACTATTACTGCAATCAATAATTTCAAGAAAGCTTATTCCCTAATTCTTATATCTTGTATAGTGATATGGTCATCTCTGCATGCTCTGCTGCACATTAACAAGCTACATATAACAAACCCCTTTGAAGGAATATCGAGTGCTAATGTATGATAGCACAGGTTGTTCCCAGGTTCCCAGCACTGATGCGTTGACACTGAACAACACTGAAACAGGGGAAAATTCTAAAGTCTTACCTGGCACTTGACAAAACCTCTGAAAATTTGCTGAAATTTAGTGGGGCCTCTGGGACTTCCACACTTGGTCTGCTGGCATCCCACAGGGCTTATATTTAACATCGCCTGGTATGGATTTGTCTCTTCAGGAGCACCTCTCCTGTGTCATCTGAGAGCATACCAGTTGCCAAGGAAGCTCAGAATTAAAAGAGAAATGGTAAATTCTGATAATTGCAATGTTAGAAAGTATAGAAACAATGAAGTAGGAAAATACATGTGAAATAGATCCCTTCTGCAGGCAGACACCAGGTCTCCTCTCGGTCATCCATTCACTGCCTTAACTATAAGCCAGCAGTGGCAGATCCTGTCTTAGACCAGACCCAGTTCTGAGTCACCATGGCTCTGACAACAATACCTACCAACAGTTTGGACCTCACTATGGCAGTGGGGTCTTCATTCTCCTTCCTTCTGCATATGTTTAAGAGCATTTGTCCTTGTTGCAGCTTGGGTAACTGGCAGGCACAGTTAACAGCACAAAGAATTCACCCTCTCAGTTTGTGTATTTCTTGGACACACATCGCCTGTGGCATGTTGATTTCCTTACATGGGAACCATCTTCCTAATCAGAAGATCATTCAATACTGGTTTTACCTGGTTTCTCTTTTCCCAGGATGGTAGGACTGTCTCTCCTAGATGATATGGCTTTCCACATAACAGTCTCCATGGCTCTTCGCAAACAAGCAACATTTGCATTAGAAAATTTAGAAAATTAGAAATCAGGTTTGTGTAACACTTCTGATTCATTCTGAGTCAAAGTGCTGGGTTGTGTCCTTGAAGGCAAAACACATACCTCTTTGAATGCCAGAGTTGCCAGTCATTTTCCCCTCCTCTAGCAGCTTGAGAATCCAGGCCACTCTGTGACATCCTTAAGTCATGTCTCTCCTTTTGCTGCATTCTGGAGAGAATTTTTTACTGAGAATTTCTTATTCATGAGGTCACACTGGAGAGCGATAGACCTTAAAGAATAATGGGCTGGGGAAGAGTGGGTCCTTAACTGAAATGTACTAGTGACTATATATATTACCACCAAATATGGCAAAAGGAAGATAGGTAGGCTGGTGTCATTTAGGCTGGTATTTTTTTAAGGAGAGAGGCTTAAATAAAACCATATTTACTGCGCAGAGTGCCACAGATTTTTCTGGAAGTTCAGTCCTGCTGAATACCTTACCACTTTACCTCTGTAACTTTATTTTAACTCTGAAACCTCTCCATTAGGCTGCCTGCAGTAATAAACTGAAGTTTTTCAAATTGATTTAGCTATTCCCTGAGGGTTAAAATACTGCTTTCTTAACTCAGTTTTGTCTGAGTCACACACACTCCATTTTCATTCCCTCTTAGGCTCGGAAGGCTCCCCTAAATCCACCTTTTTCTCCATGAACTCTGGCAGTGATGTATATTTTTGCAAGAGTAAGCTACAGATATTCAACATATAACACAATTTATTTACACAGCATCTTTGGATTATTTTATTATGTATCTGCCTGCTACTTTAAATATGTAAGTTGTGTAACTTCCTTCAGATGTTGTGTGACTGTGGTCCTATCTGAAACCAACACAGCCTGAAGCCTGTTTCCAGCGGGCTGGTCTCCTTCTCTGGTGATGTCCTTCACTCATCACAGCTCAGACACTGCTAGACTAGGAAAAGAAAACTGGAGCTGCTAATCACTCCCTTCTCTCCTTGCTGTTCCCCGTTTGTCCTCAATGCTGACCAGAAGAGAGCTGAACTTCTTTTACTCCTACAGTAGGAGAGAGGCTTGTCTTCTTCCCACCACTTCTCTACACTTGTAATTTTTCTTTTCTGGAACCTCCAGCAGAGCATGGGCGGTTGGGGTGAAGTATGTTTAGCATATGACACTTTTCCACCAGCTATTTCTCAACTAGTGCGCTGTAGTCTCTCAGCTCCTACTGAGAGTTGCTTCTCCCTCAGAGGGGCAATTGTGAAAACTATTTTGAATGGAAAATTTCATTCCATGTACATGGAGGGAGAAAAAAATTGAAACCCTCTTGATTTGGGCTAAAAAATAGGGTTCACAGCTGCTGTGTTTTTAAAATTTTCTTGCTTCATTTCCTATGAATGCCTCTGGAGCAAGAAGAAATCTATAGTTAAACCCCACAGTTTTAAACTGATCTTTATAATATATCTTTCTATGTACCTGTGCATATAAAGCCATTGATTTGCTCCAGATAATATGAGCTGCTTCCAAGCAGCAGAGCAGTATGGAACCCCATTAACATATCATTCATACAGATTTGTAGCAGCTTCTCAGAGCATGCTGGAGAAACGACCCAGGTAATTTAGGACTATTTTTCCTGTGCTTTATTGAACCCACATTTGTCTGTATTTATTCTATGTATTATTTTCTACCTTGTGTCTTCATTTTTATGTTCAGCCAGACCCATAAACCCCTTTTCCCTCTAAGAGTTCCTCAAAGAGAGTCATTTAAAAATGTCACACTGCAAAGCTTGTTCTACTCTCCAACTATCCTAAATCATCAGTGAGGACATTAAATCAAGTCAAACCTAATGCCAGATTGCTATGTACCATCCTTGAAAATATACCTTACCTTGTCCAGTGAGTATCCATGCCTGGGAGATTTTACTGTGACTAATTGAACTTTATCTTTTCATACACATAGAGAACATTACAAAATAGCCAACGCAAAACCAGCCATAGCACTAAACACAGTGAAGCAGGCATATTTAGTTGCCAGAAGGATTATCTGTAGGAGACAGTGCTCTGAAAACACCTGCTGCACAGAGTACCAGCACCAACACAGGTTTATGTCTTTGAAGCCCTGGCACTGTATGCTCCAAAAGAATCACAGGATGGAGGCTGCTGAGTGGAGGATACCATAAGAGCATTCAAAGATTACCAAAGATTACACAAATAACAAAGATTATGGACAAGATTACCAGTGCTCAGGAGTGCAGGTTCAAAGTCAATTTAACAGAGACTGGAAGTAAAAGACTCATGAAAAATAAAAATCAAATTTAATCCCTAGACCTGCAGTCACCATGTCCAACTGCCTCAAGCCTAAAGTAACTTCAGACTTAACAGAAGGCTAGAAATATTCAAACTGATTAGTGCTATGTGGCACAAACCCTGCTCATGTTGTCATAGAACACCTCTTTGAGAAGCAGCTGCCCATATTGCCTTTCTCTGTCAAATACAACAAAGCAAAATTAATACTGGCCACTTGAACTCTGTTACACCCTCCTGTTTGGCAGTAGAAGTAGGCTAATAGATGGGTCAGGAAGTTAAGGCTCCCCTATGGAATGGATAAATGAAGATTAAAAATTGGTGGTTTGTTAAGAATTACACTGATACCCGAGTGACATGAACCTTACTTCTTAGAAAGTTCACTCATCTCGCTCCACTGGGCAGAGAACTGAATCCTGCATGCTGTCTTGTAATCAGTCTACAATCACTCAGGAGCTCTGTATACTGTGCAGTCCAGAATGTGAGTGATGCTTTTGGGTACTGGCACCCTAAATAAAGCTACACTGCCGATCCTGACTTCTGTCCTGCAGCTGTCTAGTTGCTGTGTGTTTGCTCTGTGCTACACCCTCTGAACCCCTACAGAATCATAAATTCATTCTTTGTCATTCCTTTATAAATCATGATGTGAACTGGTTTGAATTCACTTGAGCTAAAATTAAAAAAAAAAAAAAGTAGAAGAAATAAAGAAAAAAGGCAAGAAAAACCTGTTGCCTTTGTAAGATTTGGTCTCAGAGAAGGCACCTTCTTGATAGAGCTGATTAGACCAGACACCCTGTTGTGAACGACTGTTAAAAGGCAAAAAGGCATTGGAGTGTAATTCACCTCGACAAATGAAAGCAACTTCTAACAGTGTGCTTCCAACCTTTCAGTCTAGAGAGACATCTCAGAGATCTAGGGGACAAATGAAATGAAACTCACCTGTGTGTGTTGGAAGAGCTGACATTTCTTAGGTACATTTTTTATCTACAAATCTCATCTAGCAAAATGACATCCCAATTCAAATCATAGCACCCAGATCTCCCACCATTTGATTTACACACGAAGCTGCCTTAGCCATATTGCTTTGAGTGAAATGGCAATGAATGTTCTTCAGACCCCATGTTTGCCATTTCTTGTCCTGCAATCATTATGTGGTATGGCTCATCAGATCTGTCTAACTTTTATTGTTAGCTGTAACAAACACCAAGCATAAATCCAATATACCTTATACAGTTTTACTCTCAAAAGGATTCACTTGTTTTATTCTGCAGTGTTTCTGCTTATACAGCCCTAGACCTCTCTTTCTGTCTCTCTTGCACTGAATATTTGAGTTCAGGGTGATTTTCGAGGATACAATAACTGTATTTTTCATATCCTGAAACTCAACTGTCTCCAAGTCTCCATAAATCTTTTCTTTCATGCCACTGAGGTTTGATGTTTCTTTCAATTTAGTTCAGCTGCAAACATAATTAATGCAGCATTTCACAATGGAAAATGTAATGGAGATATTGAAGATAAAAAAAGTGGGCAGATAATAACATTTACGGCATAAGGATTTTATAGGGAGGGATTTCCTCATCTTGAGTTACCCACAATTCCCAGTTCAAGGCTGCCCTGACAGCGCAGACTTGAATGCAGGTCTGATGATACATGGTTCCTTTATAACACAATAAAGGAAGTGTGTGTAACCCTTAATCAGTTAGCATGTTATAGTTTTGGGTTCTTTTTTTTAACCAGAAATTTTGCTCTAGCACTGAAGAAAATTTGATTTACTGTTCCCAATGCTTTTTTCTCACCTGAAGACATCTGGCTAATGAATAAATAAAGCTTCAAAGAGCCAGCAGCAAGACTTTTAGTCAAAGGCAAATGAATAACATTAAGTGCATTTTGGCTCATATTCCAGGATTACAAGTTGCTTGGATGAGCATCTTTTTCTAGTCTCCCAAGTGATGTCTCAGCAGGCATTTGGTCAGGACACTGTCTGAAAGTTAGAAAAAAATTGTTCAAATGGAAAATATAGGATTGTGATAATAAATGTCCAAACTGAAGACAAATACTGAACTGTTTTAATTCTGAATAAATGGCATAAAACTTAAGCACAAGATGTATTGTGCCAGAAGAAAGCGCAGCTGGTCTCATGTTCCATTTCTGACAGTGCATGACAGCACATGCCTTAGGAAAGTTTTTAAGAACAGGACAATCCAGAAACACTGTACTGGTATTAGAACAAAACAACCCCAAAGTATTTTTCCTGCTGAAGATTTATCCAATTGCTTTTTGAGCAGAAATAACTGTTTAGTACAAGTCCAGTGAGGAGGCATAGCTTACCAACAAGCACGTGCAGTGCAATCCCCTTGGGTTCTTCTGAACGATTCTCCTTTTTTGTTGCATTTGGCACCTGCCAGCCCTTCTGTTGGAGACAGTGAACATTTCCTTTTCTGTCACCTACTGTCTGTTCAGGGTTTTCTAGACCTCCTCAAACGTCGAGAAATAGTTCCCCCAAATGTGCTACACTGTTGCAATGGACAGTATCTTTTTCAAAATTCAGTCCCACAAATGTCAGGTTCCCCCACTACACACCATTGAGTCACTGTTTCATACACTGGGGCATCAACAGGGACAATTTAGCCCGAGCCTTTGACACGAACCAGAGGAAAAATATTAACTTCTTTTTTTTAGTCTTTGTATGGATGCAAAATCTACCAAACATTTTCACAAGGCTCTCCTTGTCTTTACTTTTTGCTGTGATGAAGTCTCCCTCGAGTGGCACACAGCCTGCCATGTGCTTGTGACACTAATGCTGCTACCCAGGAGAGCTCTGCCATGAAACAGAAAGAAAAACACAAGAAAAAATTGGAGGATCCTAGTGTCAGACAACTTGGCAACGTTTTCTTCAACTGTAGCCTTAGCAGAGCTGAGCACCATATAAGGTTAGACAGCTCTCTCCTATCATATCCATCAATGTGAAATATTTTCAGCTTTCTGGAGTCACACACTCCCACTACGCTGCAAATATGAAACAAAGACCCACCTCTGCAGTGCTGTGATGTGAATTCACTTTTCCCCAAAAGAATCACCGTGATTTAAAAAGCAATACACTCAGCTGTATGCATCTTTCCCTGGAATAAACACCTGCAACCTGGTTCCAAACCCTTCCAAACCATATATTAAAGATGACAGTTCTACCACAACTTAGAGGCCTTTGGTTGACATTGGCTATAGAAAAGAAAAGATGATGTGAAGGGTTAGTCACTCCACTTGAAAGAACTGTTACCTCACTCCAGTCATCAGCACCAGGGTGTGCACCTTTTAATTTGGCTGTTCTTTGGTGGCGTAACACAGACCTGTTCCTAGGGGCTGCAACCAGTTGGCAAAGTGATGACAAGATGATGGTCAGGAGAGAAAGCAGCACTTGGAGGGGAAGGGCTGTGGGCA